ACAGACAGCATTTTTGTTCACAGCTGCATCCCCAGCTCCTGGAACAGTGTCTGACACATAGTAGACATCATAAACATTTGTTGTATAAATGAATTAATGATAAAATATCATATAATTATTAAGAGTATTCTGAATATGAAATTCATAGGACCTTTAATCCTATATTTCATGGAAAACTGGTGTGTGAATTGGGTTGGTGAATTTTCTGAAAGGAGGGTAGTGGGGCTGGGCACGATGGCTCACGCCTGTAATCCCAGCAGTTTGGGAAGCCAGGATGGGCAGATCACCTGAGGTCAGGCGTTCGAGACCAGCCTGGCCAACATGGTGAAAACCTGTCTCTACTAAAAATACAAAACTTAACTGGGTGTGGTGGCACACGCCTGTAATCCCAGCTACTCAGGAGGCTGAGGCAGGAGAATCACTTAAACCCAAGAGGCAGAGGTTGTGGTGAGCTGAGATTGTGCCATTGCACTCCAGCCTGGGGGACAAGAGCAAGACTTCATCTCAAAAAAAAAAAAAAAAAAAAAAAAAAGGAAAGAAGCATAGTGATTATATGTAGAATGTTTTTCTCTATCAAACATTCATTTTCAACAAATGTGTTTGGGGATCTACTCTGCGTTTGGCAGTGTTCTAAGCACTGTTCTAGGCACCAGATAGATAAAAATAGACAAAAATCTCTGGTTTCATGGAACTTCTTATCTCATTTGGAGATATAAAGAGTATGCAAATAAATAAGTGAAGTAGATAGCATGTCAGATGCTGCAAAGTGTTAAGGAGAAGAATAAAACAAAGAAGGGGCTATACAGTTCCAGGGTTCAGGCAGCCAGTGGGAGTGGATCTGCCGCCTATCACAGGTAGCAACTGTGAGTAGGGTGCTCAGGCAAGATCTCACAGACAAGGTGGTATTTGAGTAAAGGCTTGGGGAAGGTGATTCATGTGGCTATCGGTATTAAAAGCTACAGTAATTAAAACAATGTGGTCTTAGCTTCAAAGAGACACAGAAAGATGGAATGAAATATTGAGTTCAGAAACTGGCTCAAATATATGTGAAGATTTAACATGGTAAAGTGGTCAAGAAAATGGACTGTTTATAAAGAGTGCTGGAACAACTTGCTAGCCATTTTGGGGAAAAACGGTAATTTGGGATATCACCTTATCCAGACAAAAATTACAAATGGATAAAGAGTTTTCATGTTAAAGCACCCACATTAAACAGCTAAAGAATATTTAAGTATGTATTTTTATATTTACAGTCTTTGACTAGAGAAGGTCTCTTAAAGCATGACAATAAATCCAGAAAATGAGCAGAATGGTCCACAGATTTGACCGTATAAAAGTTTGAGGTGGCAAAAATAAAACAAAATAAATAAATTAAAATCACCACCCATAAAAGTTAAATAAAAAAATACATATTACAGAAATACTGTATTTCTTTAGTCCCCACCCTCCTTCTGAAGTTAATGTATACATTTAATGTGGTAATGTCTCTTTCTCCTTGCTCTTAGGAACTATTAAATTGAGAGTACTTATTCTAATAAACTCCCTGTTAGAAAGCAGAACTAAGGTATATAGAGAACTTCAAAGAGCAACTTTTTTTTTTGCATACTCAATAGTGAAAGTAAAAAGTATGAACACAGTTCACGGGGAAAGAAATGCAAATATAACCAACAAAAGTGAAAAGATGTTAAGCCTTTTGAGTAACAAGGCAAGGTAAGCTGAAATTGCATTGAGGTGCAGCCTTTTACCCATTGGGTTAGTAGGCCTGAAGAGGATTGTCATGAGAGGCAAAGGGAATATACTGCATTTTCATTTACTGCTAATGGGAGTGTGAATTTGTACAACCTTTCTGTTTTTTTTTTTTGGAATTTGGATCAGTTCTAAAATGTAGAGCCTCTTAACCTTGAAAAGCCCATAGAGCTGTGTGATATGGAGGTACATATCTAAGGAGCCCATTTGAAAAATGTTTTTAAAGTAGTTCCTCTTACAGGGAGTTAAGAGCAAACCGTTTTCTGTTTATTTGTCTTAATAAGAAGCCTTTGTCCAATGTCTATCTCTTTAATTTGACTTTTTAACCAACTTGACTATATTTGCATAATTATGATAAAAAAATAAAAACTAGGTCCAGGTGCAGTGGCTCATGCCAGTAATCTCAGCACTTTGAGAGGGTGAGGTGGGTCATTTGAGGTCAGGAGTTCACTGTGTCGTTTTTTCTTTTATTATTTTTAATTTTTTTATAAGAAAAAGAATAAAGAAGAGGAAGAAAGAGAAAGAGGAAGAGGGAGAGAGAATGGGGGTATTGCTTTATTGCCCGGGCTAGAATGCGATCTAAATATGGGTATGTCTACTGATGGGTTTTAGTTTTTTATTCAAATTGCCTGTCTGTCTTTGGATTGGGGGATTTAGTCAATTTAAATTTAGAATCAATAATAATATATGTGAGTTTAATACTGCCATTTAATATTAGCTGGCTATTTTGCCCATTAGTTGATGTAAATTCTTCATTATATTGATGCTCTTTTTGGTATTTTTTAATAAAGGCTGATACTGTTTGTTCCTTTCTATGTGTAGTGGTTCTTTCAGAAGCTCTTGTAAAGCAGGCCTGGTGGTGAGGAAATCTCTGAGTGCTTGCTTATTCACAAAAAAACTTTATTTTTCCTTCACTTGTGAAGCTTAGTTTGGCTGGATGTGAAATTCTGGGTTGAAAGTTCTTTTCTTTAAGGATGTTGAATATTGGTCCCCACTCTCTTCTGGCTTGTAGGGTTTCTGCTGAGAGATCTGCCGTAAGTCTGATAGGCTTCCCTTTGTGGGTAACCTGACCTTTCTCTCTGGCTGCCCTTAGTATTTTCTCCTTCATTTCAACCCTGGTGAATCTGACGATTATGTGCCTTGGAGTTGCTCTTCTTGAGGAATATCTCTGTGGTGTTCTCTGTATTACCTGGAGTTGAATATTATCCTGCCTTACTAGGTTGGGAAAATTTTCCTGAATAATGTCCTGAAGCGTATTTTCCAGCTTGGATTCATTCTCTTCCTCACTTTCAGGTACACCTATCAAGCGTAGATTAGGTCTTTTCACATAGTCCCATATTTCTTGGAGACTTTGCTCGTTCCTTTTTATCCTTTTTTCTCTAATCTTGTCTTCTTGTTTTATTTCATTGAGTTGGTCTTCGACCTCTGATATCCTTTCTTCTGCTTGATCAATTCGGCTGTTAAAACTTGTGCATACTTCACGTAGTTCTCATATTGTGTTTTTCAGCTCCATCAATTCACTTATATTCATCTCTAAATTGTGTATTCTTGTTAACATTTCATCAAATCTTTTTTCAAAGTTCTTAGTTTCTTTGGATTGTTTTAAAACAAGTTCTTTTAATTCACAGAAGTTTCTCATTATCCACATTTTGAAGCCTGCTTCTGTAATTGGAACACACTCGTTCTCCATCAAGCCTTGTTCCGTTGCTGATGAGGAATTGTGATCCCCCGCTGAGGGAGAGGCGTTCTGATCTTGGGTATTCTCAGCCTTTTTTGGCTGTTTTCTTCCCTTCGTTATAAATTTATCCATCTGTGGTCTTTGTATTTACCGTCTTTGTAATTGGTTTTCTGAGTGGACGTCTGACTTAGTGATTCTCAGCGCCTAAATCTGAGCAACCCACTGCGCTGACTAAATCAGCGGCGTTAAGATTGATGGTGCTTCTCTGACTCTGCACCAAGAACCGACGCTCCGAGACGCTGGCAAAACCGCCTTGCCGGTCACAAGAGTCGAGCTGGCGACCCGTGGGGCTCCTCCGCTGGGAATCTCCTGGTGCGTGAGCAACAAGAATTCATGTGAAGGTATGGCATCCTCTCATTCTTTTTTTTTTTGTACAACCTTTCATTAAAACTAAATATGTTCATGCCTTTAAAATTCCTTTGGATTTTTTTTCCCTAAAAGGATATAATTGAGTAAGTGTTCAAAGACAAGAATATATGTACAAAAATGTTTATCTCCGCATTGTTTGCAATAGTAAATAACTGGAAATGATCTTGATGTCCATTAATAGATAAATGGTTAAACTACAGTGGAATGCTGTGCAATGTGAAATCCTGTGGAATGCTATGCAATTATTATTTGTTTATATGAGAAGATGCCCACAATAAATTGTTTATTAAAAGGCAGACCACTACAGCCATTTTGGAAGACAGTTTGATGCTGTCTTACAAAACTAAGCATCCTCTTATCATATGATCCAGCAATTGTACTCCTGGGTATGCACTCCAACTTAAGTCCACACAAAAACCTGCACATAAATGTTTTCAGTAGCTTTATTCATAATTGCCAAAAATTGGAAGCAACCAAGATGTCCTCAAGTAAATAATAAAACAAACTGTGGATAAAACAAACTGTGGTATATCCAGACAATCAAATGTTACTCACTTATGAAAATAAATGAGCTATTAAGCTATGAAAAAAACAATGAAGAAAGAATGCATATTGCCAGGTGAAAAAATGGCATTTGGTAGTCTAAAATGCTACATACTCTATTACTCCAAGTATATGACATTCTGGGAAGGGCAAAACCATGGAGACAGTAAAACCATCTGTGGTTGCCAGGGGTTAGGGGGAAGTCAGGGAGGGATAGATAAGTGGAATGCAGAGAATTTTTAGGGCAGTGAAACTTCTGCATGATGCTGTAATGGTAGATACCTGACATCATATATTTGGCAAAACCCATAGAAGAATTAATCTTAATGTAAAATTTAGTTAATAATAAAGTTTCTTTTTTTTTTTTTTAAGAAGTGAAAGGTCTCACATATTTGTTACTGAACCCAGGCAACCAAAACCTTTTTTTTTTAAACATAAATAATGGAAGCACTGTGGGTTGTGCTAACTAATGCCTTCATAACAGATACAGAAAGGAAACTGTTCAAACTTCTCCAGATAGCGGTGACATTTTTCAGCTTAATTTGGTAACACGATCGTGACCTTCAGGCAGCATAAATGTGTGTGCCATCGCATGTGTAATTTCTTACAGACCCAGCTTGGTTCTTCTCCAATGTCTCCTTTTGGAGTTGTACCTGATTTTATTACCAGTTTTCATCCAAATCCACTGGGGAATGGGACGATTTTGCTTTTGTTTCTTGGCCAGGAATCGCTTAATCCTGTAAGTCTTGTGAGAAGACATGGCGAGGAACGGAGTCAATAATAAAGTTTCAATATTAGTTGATCCATTATAACAAATATACCACACCAAAGCAAGTTGTTAATAACAGGGGAAATTGGTGGTGAACAAAATGGGAATATATGGGAACTCTCCACACCTTCTGGTTAATGTTTCTGTAATCCTAAAACTGACCTAAGAAATAAAGTCTATTAGTTTAAAAAAATGCATGAATGATCCTTTTTGTAGTGGGTGTGTGTGCGTGCGCGCTCGTGTGTGTGTGTGTGTGTAGGAGGTTCTGTAGACATAAGTTTCGAAGGATTGCATTGAAATATTAAGAGTGGTCACTTTGAGTGGTGAGATTTTGAGTGATTTTCACTTTTTAATTGATGTTTGTTGATAATATGCAAATTTCATTCATAGAAAATTGTGGTGTTGTTAAATACTATCATTTCTTATCCATATAACTCTTTGTGAGGTTAAGATTTTGGAAACTATCTGGTTATTTCGATCAAGGCAGATATCCGGTAATTGATGTGTTAAGGCATTTTTTTCCCCTGAGTTATTAGATGATGAAATCATAGAAAATTAAACTTATTAGGAAACATTAGATGTGCATACTTGAAGACAGATTTTTAATTTTATTTGTTTTTTGAGACAGAGTTTCGCTCTTGTTGTCCAAGCTAGAGTGCAATGGCGCGATCTTGACTCACCACAACCTTTGCCTCTTGGGTTGCAAGTGATTCTCCTGCCTCAGCCTCCCCAGTAGCTGGGATTACAGGCATACACCACCATACCTGGCAAATTTTGTATTTTTAGTAGAGACAGGGTTTCTCCATATTGGTCAGGCTGGTCTCGAACTCCCGACCTCAGGCCATCTGCCTGCTTCGGACTCCCAAAGTGCTGGGATTACAGGCGTTAGCCCCCGCGCCCAGCCTAAAGACAGATTTTTTATAGTTTTACTGTGAGTTTATTGTTTTCTTGTCAAATATTACCTATGAGAAATCTAGGAATATTGGGGTAACTGGAGAGAAAAGATGTCATAGGAAACAGTTCCCTTTGGATGATATAAGAGGTTCATTTATGTTGTATATAATACACCTCTTATCAGAAAGTTACCAATGACGCTATTTCTTTTCTGGTAAAGCAAAGCAAGTCTTCATTTTTACATGTTTGATATCTTTGAGTTACTTACTGATGTCAGAGAGGGGATCCTTTATGTATGTTTATTCATATGTTTTTATTACTGAAGAAATAACTCCACAAAAATAAAAGGCTTGACAATGTCCCTTTAAAAAGGATATTTTATTGACTATTGTGGATTGTGGATTAACCAAATCTATAACTAGAGATTAATCTGGAGAAGTGGGAGAGAGGAATTGAACGTGGATGGGACAGAGACAGAGGAGGGAATTTGTGGGAATTAGGGCATTAGTGCTGATGAAAGGGTGTGAATATGACTCCCTGAGGCTTTCTGAGTTTGCCAGGCTCTGTGCTAAGTGCTCTGCATATATATCTTCTTAATCTCCGTAACAGACCTATGAGGTGACAGACATTATTATCCACAGTTTTCAGATGAGGAAACTGGCTCAGAGAGGTTTCAGTAAATTACCAAAGATCACACAGCCAGTAAATAGCAGTCAGAATTTGAACTCACAGATGTTTGGACCTCAGGTCTGTGTGCTTTATGTACTGCATACTTCTATCTACAGAATGCTGATTTTATAGGTATTTCCCCCAACGTGGCTATTGGTTAACTGCCCAGATTTGTTTTAACATAAGTAACACACGGTCCAGTTTGTTTTTCAAAAGGTAAGTGTATATAAAGAGATGTAGATCCTTCTATGGTTTGCTGAAGTTTATTTTGTATTTAGTTCTTGTGCATCAGAACTACCTTATTAGTTGAAAAGAGACTCATTAATTCTTGTGTGGGATGTCCAAAATGCTTTCTTTGTAAATTTCTAGTTTTTCCTTTGGACTATGGTAATTTGCATTTGTCCCTATAGTCCTATGCTCTTGACAGTAGCTGCATACTTCAAGTATTAAACATCAGTGAAATACTGTATGTGATTTTCTATATGGTATGGGAGGAAAAAAGTGAATCTGGGGGACAGATCCAAGTTATGTGAGACTCCAGCTGAAGGCTCAGGTCCCTCTGGGGAAAGTCACAGCAGCCTGACCATGTAGGAAAATGGCACTCTGCTGCTCTCAGTTTACTTGGTAGTGTCTGCCAAAGAGCACAGGAAGAACAGTAGAGCAGCAATGAGCAGTTTTTCAGCTGCCAGAGAAAAAGTTTCACAAATTGGAAATATTACAAAGGTACACTAATATCTGATAGTAATTTATTCATCAAGTTTTGTTGCATAGTAGATGCTGAAAATACAATGCTGAATTAGTTATTGTCCCTGCTTTCAAGGAGCACACGGGCCAGATGGGAAGACAACACACAAATTCCAGTACAGGATGTCAAGGGCCATAGTCACAGGGATTTATGTGAGCATCTAGGAGAGGTGCCTGGTTTCACTGGAAGTGTTGGGAAATGTTCCAGAAGAGGGAATATCTATTCTAAGCCAGACTGGCTGTATAATTTGCGGAGTCCAGTGCAAAACGAAAATGTGGACCATTTGTTCAAAAACTATGAAGAATTTCAAAATGGTGACAGCTGAGCATTAGATAAAGCACAGACACTTCTAATTGAATTTTCTTCTACTTAGACTGTAATACCCACAATGGGATAATTCCAAACCATTGTTTAACAAAACGAACCCACTCTGGGTATTTATGCCATTTGTTTCCTTTGAAGTCTTATTACTATGTAGCAAAAATCTAAGGGTCTACGATAATATATTTAAATCAGTCTTGTGTGGCCATGACAATTTTGGAAGAACTATATTAGAATGGGTCATGAATGTTTAGTATTTGTTGCATTTCCCCCAGAAAAGGACAGTTTCTGGGAACTTCAGGGAATTTTTAAATACTTTCTCGAGCAGCCTGTTGCCTCTGAAAGAAATAATTGCTGGGAATGATAAAAAGCAAATGTTAGTATGTTTTTTGGAAATGAAAACAGAAACCCTACCTGTTGATTACAAAAGCGGAGAACATGATATCCATGGAATATTGTATTATAGTATTGTTCACAACTACTCACTGTACCCTTTTAAGAATTGTACAGCCAGGCGTGGTGGCTCACGCCTGCAACCTCAGCACTTTGGGAGGCCGAGGCAGGCAGATCACAAGATCAGGAGTTCCAGACCAGCCTAACCAACATGGTGAAACTCCGTCTCTACTGAAAATACAAAAATTAGCCCAGTGTGGTGGCATGGGCCTGTAATTACTACTTGTGGGCTGAGGCAGGAGAATCGCTTGAACCGGGAGGGAGAGGTTGCAGTGAGCCAAGAAAGCACCATTGCACTCTGGCCTGGGTGACACAGGAAGACTCCATCTCAAATAAATAAATAAATAAATAAATAAATAAATTTTATAATGCCTGCTGGTAGGAAGGTAGCCATACAATTTATAGTAATTCCCTGAGAAAGGACGCTGTCTCTCCTTCCCAGGTGGCCATGTGAGTTGCTTTGGCCAATGGAATGAAAGGATGTGATGTAAGCCGTGTCTGAGCAGTTCAGGGTAAATACTTTGAGGGCCTTGATAGTTTGGCACTTCCTTTTTCTCCTGCCACAAGTCCAGCACGTTTCCAGGAGGAGTTGCTTCTTCAAGTCGGGATCCTGAATGAAATAGCCATGTGAATCACAGTCATGGCCAACACACGAAATGTGAATGAGAAGTAAACCTTGATTGTTAAAAAGCCGCTGAGATTTTTTGTGGTTATTAATGACCATAGCTGGGTGAAAGCTGCCTAACACAGTGTTTTTATTTAGAATAGGGCAATGATTCACAAATACAGATTTGCCTAAAGGGCATTCAGTGATTCCACTCCTCTGGGTAATGACACTGCTCTAATAATGGTGATTATATAGGTATTTCCAGAGGCAGATACACTGGAAATTCTGCTAATGGTAATCTGAGCTTTGGGGAAACGAAGCTGAGTCCTCCCGGCAAGAGTTGGGTCTAATGGCTAGAATGGCTAAACTCCTGCCCTTATTTCTCCACCTGGTCCAGCTGCCTGCTGCCTACTTGATCTTGGACAATTTGCTAAGCCTCAATTTTCCAATTTGTAAACTTGGAATAGGACTATTTACTTCATAAATTTGTTAGGACAGGGTCAGTTTCTATTTCTTCTATATCAATGCCTGTCTTCCATTCAGTTTCTTCCCCGCTGATTAAATTAGCTCTTGTTTGACTTTGTCCATCATTTTTAATATAAAAGAAGTAAGATATTTGTAGATTCATGTTATGCTTCTCTTTGTTTCTCCCCAGGTATATATTTTTTCTTCGGTAACAACAACTACCTCATCAACAGTGTATCCTTTATTTTGATATCTACGTATATATTATTAAACATGTAAGTTACTATATTTGTATATAAATAAATATAAAATATGCATAAAACCATGTCCTCTACATAGGGAAAATTTAGGATAAAAGAATTAGTGAAACATTTTCTTTTCTTAAAAGGATTATGGTAGGGGAAGCAGGTTCACTTCTCCCTACAAAGCTATTAATTCTTTTATGTCACTTGGCAAACCAACCTTACTTTCTTCCTTTCTTCCTTCTTTCACCCTCTTTCTTCCTCCCTCCCTTTCTCCCTTTTTTCCTCCCTCCCTCCCTTCCTTCCTTCCTTTTTTCCTTCCTTCCCCCCTCCCTCCCTCCCTTCCTCCTTTCTTTCTCTTGCCTGCCTGCCTGCCTTTCTTTTCTTTTCTTTTCTTTTTTTTTCTTTTCCTTTCTCTTCTTTTCTTTTCTTTGAAGCAGGGTCTGGCTCTGTCATCCAGGCTGGGGTACTGTGGCGCGTGATCTTGGCTCACTGCAACTTCCGCCTCCTGGGCTCAAGTCATCCTCCTGCCTCAACCTTCCAAGTAGCTGGAACTACAGGAAGGTGCCATCAGGCCTAGCTAATTTTTGTATTT